GTTCACCTCCAGCAAAAAACGTACCCATTGATACAAGTGCATAGAGCGAAGAACTATACAAGCTTAAGCTGTTGTGCGAGCACACGAAGCTAGAAACTTAAAATTCGTTACCCTTTAAAAAAGGTAGCTCTCATTTTTGGTGTTGATCAGAGAGATTCACCGAGAGCCATATGTTTTATGTCTCCGATGGCATTGGTTCCTCTTGCAGGTGCCGAAGTGATCTTGTATGTTCGTAGACTAAGATTCTGTTGCAGACAAAAACAAAAAACTCATGATTTGTTTGCGAGTTCTGTAGTGATGTGGTTTATTGTATCTGATGAAAGAATGTTACTCGAGGAGAAACCGGTTTTTGATTTGGTTTGTTGATTGAAGAGAATTTCAGGTCATTGCTATGGTAAATGAAAGTTTATAGTGTAATCATGTTGGCCTAGAATTTTGGGCCATTGGAAAACTAAAATGGGCCTAAGATAATGGATGAAACTGTAAACCTAAATATGGAGTTGCAGAAACAGAGCAAAGTACACAGAAAGTTCCAGACTTTTAGCTTTTCTAAAAGAAAAAAAAGTTTCATTCTTTGGACGAAAACTAAATTCCTTGATCACCAAAGTAAAAACCCTAAACCCTTGAAGCCTCTCCTTCTCTAGTTCTTCTTTGCAAGCGGAAATGTATCGAATTCTATCAAAGTTATCTTCTTCAATTGGGTACGTTTCGTTCTTTCATTCAACGAGCTTATTCAAAACTTCTAATTTTCTCGATCAATTTGTATTGATGGGCAGAGCTTAATTTTCTTCTTCCTCTTTCTGGGTTTGATTGTTTTGCAGCTCGTCTACTTCCAGGAAACTGGTGAGTTTCGTGAACTTGCTGTGTCTTTTTGCGAGTTTGATTGCATTTCGTTAATGAACATTCTTGTTGATAACCGAGGAATTGCTAGAAATGTGTCAAATTACAAGTCCAGATAGTTGATGCAGTGAAAAAAATAGGGTTTACATCAAAATCTCCACCTTGAGCTACTTAATTTGCAGAATTGCTCTGGTTTTACTGGTTTCAGATGCTGTAGAAGATCTTCTAGTTCCGGAATGATTAGCTTGCATTGGCCGTACCTCTATCAAACCAATTAACTTCGATTTAAATTTTCTTTTGGTGTTCTCTCTTACCATTAAGGTTTCTGGGCGGATTATAAGTAGCAGAAACTATGCGGCCAAGGATATCAGTTTCGGGGTCGGAGCTCGGGCAGCTATGTTGCAGGGTGTATCCGAGGTTGCAGAAGCTGTGAAAGTCACAATGGGGCCAAAGGTATATATATTTTGTTCTCACAAGGTTTAGATCAATGTAGAGTGGATTGTTCTGGAAGAGAGTCATTCAAATTCAATATCTTTATTTTAATTCTGTGGTGTTAGGGAAGAAATGTGATAATTGAGAGTAGTTACGGCGGACCAAAGATCACAAAGGATGGTGTCACCGTTGCAAAAAGCATATCATTTCAAGCAAAAGCTAAGAACATTGGTGCGGAACTCGTGAAACAGGTTGCAAGTGCCACTAACAAGGTCGCTGGAGATGGTAATATTTTCTCTTTTGAGTTAAAAATCGTGGATGAGTTTTTAGTGCAAACATACGCTGCAGGTATAATAACAAAGTCTTAATTTCTCGTTTCCTTCCTTTCGTTATATAGGTACCACTTGTGCCACTGTTTTGACTCAGGCGATACTCGTAGAAGGTTGCAAGTCAGTGGCTGCTGGTGTAAACGTGATGGATTTGCGTGTTGGCATAAATATGGCAATTGCTGCAGTGGTATCTGATTTGAAAAGCAGAGCTGTTATGATTAGCACCCCAGAAGAGATCACTCAGGTTTATTTAGAAACAGATTGATTAAGTCAGGAATCGTGAATGCTATACCAAAGGTTGATCTATTACTGTTATTGCATATGTTCCTTTGATAGGTTGCCACTATATCTGCAAATGGGGAGCGTGAGATAGGAGAACTAATTGCAAGAGCCATGGAGAAAGTTGGAAAGGAAGGGGTTATCACCGTTGCTGTAAGCTTACTTTTCTTCTCATGCCTTGTAATAGATCAGTTGATGATTGCCTGATTGCTGTATTATTCTTCAAACACCCAGGACGGTAACACTTTAGATAACGAGCTGGAAGTAGTTGAAGGAATGAAGCTAGCCAGAGGTTACATTTCTCCTTATTTTATCACGGATGAGAAGACCCAGAAATGCGTGAGTGAAATCTATCGTGTTTAGTGTTGTGTGAAAAGGAAAGAAAGGATATTGAACTAACTATACTTGTTTTTCAGGAGCTTGAAAATCCCATCATCCTCATTCATGAGAAGAAGATTTCAGACATTAACTCTTTGTTGAAAGTTTTAGAAGCAGCTGTGCAAGTAATGCCTTCCCTTGATTATCTATAATACTATGTTCCTTTGGTTGTTTTTTTCTCGTTGTCGATACTGGCAAGACCTGAAGTCCGGTTTGGCGGTTTCTATAGTTTGCTATAAAAAACCCACTCACTTCTTTTTCTTATTGTTTGTGGTTGTGCAGAGTAGCAGACCACTTCTTATTGTAGCAGAAGATGTTGAGAGTGATGCATTAGCTATGCTTATTCTCAATAAGCATCATGCTGGGTTTAAGGTATGCGCTATCAAGGCTCCGGGGTTCGGTGACAACAGGAAAGCAAGCTTGGATGACCTTGCGGTTCTTACTGGTGCAGAGGTAGATATTTCTCAGAAACAACATATATTTATGTTTGTGTAACGTTTTCATTTTCTAACTCACTAAATGCACAGGTTATCTCTGAGGAGCGTGGGCTATCTCTAGAAAAAATTCGCCCTGAATTGCTTGGAACTGCGAAGAAGGTAATAGGAGAAGTCATATCTGGTTTCTGTTTTTGCTTTTGTGTGATTCAAATCTAACACAAATTCTTTGAACTAGGTTACCATCACCCGTGATGACACTATTATCCTACATGGTGGTGGTGATAAAAAGCTAATCGAAGAAAGATGCGAAGAGGTATATGATTATTTTCTTACAATATCTGTATCATGAATCTTGCTCACTAGAATACACTTTATACAGTAGAAGCAATCCTTTTTAACTCTCATGCTCTACAGTTAAGATCAGCCAATGAAAAGAGTACCTCCACTTTTGATAAAGAGAAAACCCAAGAAAGACTCTCAAAACTATCAGGTGGTGTTGCAGTCTTTAAGGTTAGTCAATCACCTATCAATCGATCTTTTCTAAACTCTTGCATGCCGAAAGTAGCTGATATGTGTCTGGTTCCTAGGTGGGAGGGGCAAGTGAATCTGAAGTTGGAGAGAGAAAAGACAGAGTTACTGATGCTTTAAACGCTACCAGAGCAGCTGTAGAAGAAGGCATCATACCGGGTAAGTAAATATTATTCGTTTGTTCTCTCTTTTTTCTCTGATTATTTCATTATTTTGCTTTAACTGAGGGAATATCGAATAGGTGGTGGTGTGGCTCTATTATATGCTACAAAGGCTTTAGACAACCTTCAAACTCAAAACGAGGATCAAAGAAGAGGTGTTCAGATTGTTCAGAATGCTCTCAAGGTTCATAATCTCTAACTTCCTCTTGATGAAAGATATCCGTCCATGGCCCAAACTGTAAAACCTGACATGATGTTGTGAATCTTGTGTAGGCTCCTGCATTTACAATAGCTGAAAATGCCGGTTACGATGGTTCTTTAGTGGTTGGCAAGTTATTAGAGCAGGACGATTGCAATTTCGGTTTCGATGCCGCCAAAGGTTAGAAACTTAGTGTCTTTGAGAACATTCTCGAAACGCAAATCTCATCGATCTCTGAAAGTGTCTGCTGTTTTTGTTTCGTGTTGCCATAGGTAAATATGTGGATATGGTGAAATCTGGAATCATAGACCCAGTCAAGGTGATCAGAACCGCATTAACCGATGCCGCTAGGTAAAGAGTGTCCTACTAACTCAAAACTGTTGGTTGCTTCTTGCTTCTGTGGGAATAATAAACTAACTCCTTATCATGTGTGTTGAAAACGCAGCGTTTCTTTGCTTTTGACAACAACAGAAGCCTCAGTGCTTGTGAAGGCAGACGAGAACACTCCAAACCATGTCCCTGATATGGCCAGCATGGGCATGTGATCTTGTGACCTCTATCTAGAAAAAACATTCATATCTTTCTTTTTGATGATTTTTTTTCTAGCAAGTGAGAAACTTTTTTCGATTTAAATTTGTGGGTCTGATTCATTATATTGTTGCAGAGCAGTTTTAATGAATTTTGTTGAATTCAAAATTATATCCTGTGGTCGTACATTACGAATTTTAAGCTTATATAATGTCTTATTACAAATCTTATAGACTTGGAATCAAAATTATTACCCAAGAAAGGCATCATTATTAAGAAGAACCCTCCGTCTCCATTAGAGGATAACGCCATGATTTAGATCTGAGCGAAGTTATTGGTTTATCTCATCTTTCCGACCATCGGAACTGCAAAACCCAACTAATTGAAAAGTGCAAAACCTTTGAAACATTTTTAAAGTGAGTTTTTCTTCGTGAATTTCTAGGTTTCAACAAGTTCTTTTCTCGTTCAAATGCGTCTAGGTTCAAGTTATAGAGAAAACGGAAGAAAGAAAAACGCAGAATTCGAACCTAGAAGAACAGAGGAAGAAGAAAACGCTCTGGAAAATTTTGCAAAAAAAATTTGGACCATTTCTCGATTTATGCGTGTCATCCTTGCGCAGGGGCCATGCTAATCTTCTCTGTATCGTTCCAATTTTATCGGATGTCCCCGAAGGGACAATCACTTACTCGACTCCGACGATATATAAACTCAGCTTCTCTTCTTCACCTAAGCGATGTGGGACTTTGCAGATTGTTTTCAACTTAAATGGGCCTATTTAAGAAATACTACTATTGTTCTTTTTAGTATAAATGGGCCTGCTTCTCTTCTTTCAGATTCTCATGAGCCTTTTTTATTATTTCACATTCGTTCTAGCTATCTTCATACCTTTAACACTGAAAATATTTTATTCATGAAGATTCCATGCCTACTCATTCTAATCCTGAGACAAACTATAAAACAAGATACAAAAACTCCGAATGGAAAGAATCAAAAAAAGAAGAAAATGAAGGCTAAGTTTCAAGAAAATGTAAGCTGATTAACAAAAAAACTGTATAAATGAAGAAGAAGAAAAAAGCTAAGAAGAAATGATGAATTGTGCGGAAGGCAAGTCGAGTTTCCGTTGTTCAACGAAAGATTCATGAGGCTCGAACTCGTGTCTTTCGCTAGAAACCTCTTCCACAGGCTTAACGTCTTCACATTCATCAATGAAACCAGCCTTCATATTCACTGTCGTTGATGAATCTTGAAGTTGAAGACACCACATGTCTTCTTGTAACCCATTGAAGTTATTACCGGAAGCACAATATTGTTGTTGTTGTTGATTTGGTTCTTGAATGTGATTCATAGGGTAACTGTAAGGAATCGAGTTGTTGTTGTTGTTTAGATCACAAGAACTCGAAAAACTCGAGAGATCCTCTGGTTCTTGCATCTGGATTTGCGTTTCTTGATGATGATGCTGAGCACGGTCACGGAACATAGCCAATTGCTGAAGAACAATCTCCAATTCGTTTCTGGTGTATTCGATCTGGTATTGAAGCTTTCTTATGATGCCATAGCATCCATCAACAGGATCATTGGCACGAGCATCGGATTGAAACATGATTGTATGCATAGCTGCGTCTTTCTCAGGAGGGGTAAGGGATTTGATGATCTTGGTGATGTTGCTGACTCCAAAGAGCTTATGCGCGTTAAGGAATTGGCGGTGACGGTCGTGAGGGAAATAAGGGGCGAGAAGACAATCGGGAGCGCATTTCCTGCGTTGGTATTTGCAGGCGGCGCAGGCTTGGTTTGTGCTGCTATTGGTGTTGCTGGTGCTGCTAGAAGGTTTTAATGGTGTTGGTTTGGGATGTAAAGGGAAGACAGAAGAAGGTTTGCCTGAGGGCATAATTTGTTTGACGGGTTTGGCGAGTTCGGTTCCTTAGTTTTCTCCTGGTGGGAAGGAAATGCAGGGGAATGGAGAGAAATGAGGGAGGAGAGACAAGCTGATATAAGACAGAGAAAATGAGACAAGAGAGAGAGAAAGAGATTTTGACCAATTCAAGTCATGGGGGTAGTGTCCTATATTTAGAAAGTGATAGAAGTGAATATGGTCGTGTCCTTCCTAATGGTGAAAAATAGAATGGACGACTGGAAATTTACTAATAATTGGCTATGTATAGCTTATGAAAGTATGTGTATGGATGTTAAAAGATTAAAAAGTATATGGTTAGATGAGCTTGCGTTACCAGTTTTTAAACCTCCTTTTTGTTCTTCGTCTGCAACCATTTTTTCTGCTCAAGAAGTTTCCTGAGATTCAAAAGCAATAACTAGAAGCTTAACAAGAAGTTTATGTTACGGGTTAAGATTCCATTTACAGCCTAGGTTCCAAAACAAACTAGAAGGCAATAGGCATGAGGGATTCACAATGATTTTCTTACAACTTACTCGAACACGGAACCTTGGAGAGGTTTTGGGGAAGACATATATGGTGTGAGACATAGAAACTAGATACACTAGTACCATTGTTAACTCTTTTCTTCTTCTGGCTTCTTTGACTTATGATGTGTGACAATCTTCATATCGTAGAAGAGTCTGAAATCAGAAAAACCAAGAACGATATAAGTTGGTCATAACTCATAACAGTAACAAATGCAACATATTTTCGTAACGTTTCTAGATGCCTCAAATGCTATACGACTATACGAGTATAAAAACTCAAAACACAATGCTATGTGTAACTCGAGAACAAAATATAACACTGACTATGGTTGATGTTCCTTCCTATAAGGCCATCAAATTCCACGAGTAAATTGAAGAAACAAACTTAGGAACAAGATTACACCTTCGTTGTTCGAGTGCCTTGTAGGATTCTTCCAGCTTTTGTTTTTGTCCATCCACAGTCAACACACAAAATCGATAAATTCTCTACCAACTGCCCAACAAAAACCACAGCCAACTAACGAAGAACAGATATAATCCAAAGGAGATGAATACTAATGATATCCTACCGGATAGAGATGGAAATGAGAAGGTAGCGACTGCTTCTGGTGCGGCTGTGGATCTTGTATTGACGGCGTCTGAACCGCCGGCGACGGTAACAATGCTGTTTCTGTTGTAAGTTTTCAATACGACGCCGTATTTTAAAAACGAAGCCGTAATGAAAAAGTGTTTTAACTTGAGTCTGTTAAACGACGTCGTAAAGAGAATCATTTGTCAACGGCGTCGTTTAAGATTGTTATTACAAACAAACTCGAGCAGTTTCTGAGAAGGAGAGAAGTTGTCGCCGATACCAAGAGAGGAACAAGGACATTGACGGTGAGTTTTTCCGACAAAACCTGAATCGAAAGTTTCATACTTTATTAAACTACACATTGATTTTATTTTGAATCTCAAAGAAGTACTCTTTTTTGTTTATACAGTTGTCTCTTTGTTTCTCTCAGATTAAAGGCTTTGCTCAGGTTCTGAAACGATCTTAATTGAGTTCTTGTTCCAATGATTGTTAGTATCTAGGTGGATCTTGGGTTTTATTCTGAATTTTGTGTGGCTACTAGTTGAAAAGTTATAGCCGATGTTCTAGATTCTTTGGTCGATAAGTAACAATGAATGGATTTCGTTGATTGTGGTTCAAAAGATCCAAATTTTTCAATGCAATTTTGGTTAATTAATTTGGGATCGGTTAGAGATTCTCTTTGGTGTTGCAATTGGGTGGGGGAAGAAATTTGTGATTTATTCTGAAAAACTTGTAATTTTAAAATGTTCGAATGCATCTGAAAGCTATTTGGAACTCTTTGACATTGCTTTGAGAGTTGTATGGTTTGATATGTTTCTTGGTGTTTTTCGTAACAATCCTAGCTCTCTTGATTCAGGATATGTATGGGGAAGTAAATTCAGATACTATTTCTCTATGATGCAGAGCTTCTTGGTTCTTATGATTTAGCTTATAGTAGTAGTACACTACTAGTGAAATTAGTTGTCGGTTTGCAAAGCTTTTTTGGGGCAGAAGAATTTTTTTATTTCCTCTATGTATTGTAACATCTTTATGACCAAAGTTTTGATATGAAAATGTGCAGGATTAAACAAAAATGTCAGTGAAACCCACAGTCGCTTTGAGAGGTATCTTAGTAGGTGGAGTGGCTATATTTGCAAAAGTTGCGGCTGCAATGAAAGCAGCTGGAGGTGTTAAGCTTGGTGCAGCTGCTACAGCTATGACCGTGGCTGCAACCGCTGCTGTGAGTGGAGGATCTAAGCAAGATCAAAAGCAAGATGCTTCCAAGGCACCACCACCTTCTAAATAAGTATTATTCATGTAATTCTTCCTTACTGAATCAATCAATAAAAAGAGAAAGAAAAAAAACTCCATGAAAGACCATTCTAGTTTTTCAAGGGTTCTATGGAGTTAAATGTAATGTTGTTGAAAGTGTTAAAGCTGTAGTTTTCTTTTGTAAGAACTTCTTTATCTATACAATTAAAAGGAGATGGATTGCGACCAAAACACAGTGGTAGACTTGAGTATGAGATTGGGACGAATATGCATGCATGGTTGATTAATATCTTATGGCTTCGGAAACAGTTTACTTCTACATAATTCTAGACTATTACGCCAACATAGGTAATCATTCACACAAATACTGCTTTCATTGGAAGAAAAAAACGCAAGACCATGAAAAAGATTATCTTAGAGACCAACAAAATTAAAAGAAGATAACACCAGATTCTATGCATGCATCATATTATGTCCCCACAATCTAAGCCTTGTTTTTGTTTAATACTAATGACAACATCATAGTACAGAATGATACTTTCATTTCTCAAATTTTCTATATTAAACAAAAACAAATATAACATTATATAATGTCTGATATGCAACATATTCAGTTTAGTATAACCTACATCAATGGTCCCAAATCGCAATAAGTGAAGAGACTAATTGACTAATGAATTGCAAATCAAATTGTAATATTCAAATGGTATTTTCTCAAGTCTTATAACTTTTTCCAAAGGTAGTTACTAATTAATATAGTCTTTGACACATTCCCATATATACAGATCACACGCCATTTCAATATATATTCGAATCTCATCTAGAAATTCTCCATATATCCATTTGTTTTCTATTCCTGTTACTGTTAATCTTATACCTTAAACTATATCACCTAGTCACAAATTATACCTTTTTCATCATCTATTCAATGTTGTTGGAAGAAACAGAACCACCAAACCAGACTCTAGATCATGTCCTAAGCTGGCTTGAGGATTCTGTTTCCTTATCCCCATTACCAGGATTCGATGATTCTTGTTTGCTCCACGAGTTTGATGGGACTCAAACGTGGGAATGGGATCAGACTCAAGATCCGGAACATGGTTTTATTCAAAGCTATAGTCAAGATCTTAGTGCATATGTGGAGTTTGAAGCAACTAACCTGGAAGTGGTAACAGAAGCTCCATCCATTGATTTGGATCCTCCACCTGAACTTCAGCAACAAAATGATCAGTCCAGGAAAAGGAGCCGCGACGGGGTTATCGATGCAGAACAGGTGAAAAAATCGGCAAGGAGCAAGAGAAAAGCAATCAAGTCTAGTGAGAAGAGCTGCAAAGATGGTAATAAGGAAGGTAGATGGGCAGAGAAATTGCTTAACCCTTGTGCCTTGGCCATTACGGCAAGTAACTCATCAAGGGTTCAACATTACCTTTGTGTTCTCTCTGAACTGGCCTCTTCTTCTGGCGATGCTAATCGCCGGCTTGCAGCTTTTGGTCTTCGGGCTTTGCAACATCATATTCCCTCATCATCCTCTGTGTCATCATCCTTTTGGCCTGTTTTTACTTTTGCTTCAGCAGAAGTGAAGATGTTTCAAAAGACTCTGCTTAAGTTCTACGAGGTAAGCCCTTGGTTTGCTTTGCCTAATAACATGGCAAACTCAGCTATCCTGCAGATTCTAGCACAGTATCCCTTAGATAAAAAGGATCTTCATATTCTTGATATTGGTGTTTCTCACGGTATGCAATGGCCCACTTTGTTGGAGGCTCTGAGCTGCAGACCAGAAGGACCTCCTCCTTGTGTTCGAATAACCGTTGTATCTGATCTAACCGCAGACATACCTTTCTCTGTCGGTCCACCAGGTTACAATTATGGTTTTCAACTCCTTGGCTTTGCTCGGTGTCTCAAGATCAACCTTCAGATTAGTGTAGTTGACAAGTTCCAGCTCATTGATACCTCACCTCACGAGACCTTAATAGTCTGTGTTCAGTTTAGGCTGCATCCCCTGAAGCATAGCATCCCTGATGAGAGAGGCGAGACTTTGAAAGCACTGAGAAGCTTGGGGCCAAAAGGAGTGGTTCTTTGTGAGAACAATGGAGAATGTAGTGCCAGTGGGGACTTTGCAGCAGGATTCTCGAAGAAACTTGAGTATCTATGGAAGTTTCTGGATTCAACAAGCTCAGGATTTAAAGAAGAGAATAGCGAAGAGAGAAAACTAATGGAAGGAGAGGCAACAAAGGTGTTGATGAATACAGGAGAGCTGAATGAAGGAAAAGATAAATGGTATGAGAGGATGAGAGAAGCTGGTTTTGCCGCAGAAGCATTTGGAGAAGATGCAATTGATGGAGCCAAATCTTTACTGAGAAAATATGACAACAACTGGGAAATAAGAATGGAAGATGGAGATACCTTTGCTGGATTAATGTGGAAAGGAGAGGCAGTTTCCTTTTGTTCATTGTGGAAGTAGCTAGCTTCTTTGTGTTTGTATCTTAGCTTCCAAATTAAAGGCTTGTGTAAATTGTTATCTGAAATGTTATTTTACTGTGAAGTAGACAATTAATGCACTATTTTCCATCTTCTAACTCTCTCCCTCTCTCTTCTAATTTAGCCTCTGAAGATAAAATATGTAATTTAGTATCAACATTTTCCAACCCAAAATTCACTGTGGCAAGAAAGTAGTTAAGTAACAGGAAACGCATCAAGATGTTTACAGCAACAAATATCCCAAATTTATAACAACAAAATGAAGTAGACTATAATTACTTTTTGAATGATCACCAACTTATTGCATCGCCTTAAACATTATTGAATGATCACAGAAACAAGTAAATAATGAGGCAGAAATCAGAAAGAAAATTGATTGCAAATAGGCTTAAAAACATGCAAAAACAGAATTCTTTAGTACTCTTGTTCAAAAGGAGATGAAAGTAAATGACTGAAACAAAAGCAGATAGAAACAAATAAAGTATTGCAAATGAAACCATCTAATAATCTCTTGCTTTCCTTTTACCCTTCTTCTTGATTTGCAATGACACTAAGCTTGGAACATAAGAAGTGAAGTATGGGGGCGGAATATCTCCAACATTCACAGAGTTGAAGTATCCATCTTTTCCAATGATGCAAGCTGTGTGGTTGCCCCCGGCCTCGGTCTCTTGTTCGAAAACTACGGCGACTTGCTTCTCCTCGTCAACGAAGAAGCTCCCAGCTTTGAAGTCATCCGGAAAACCATCCAGAGTCGCCAAGTCCACTTCCAAAAACTCTCTCCACGACACCGCATTGGGCTCGATCTCAAAGGAAATCCAAATACCTATTGTCGTGTCACTTTGACATAACACGGCAAGCTGCTCATCTCTAACACAAGATAAAACCACATTGTCTTCTCGAACTCCGTCATCATCGACTTCAGAGTGAAACGGCAGATCCAGAAGCTGTCCAAATCTCTCTGTTGTGAAGTCGAAACAGAGTAAACATTCTTCAGTCTCTTCTGAATCCATCGCTTCTTCTAGGTCTTCTCCTACATCAAGTGTCTCTTCAAATGTCTTTGTAACCAAAAAGTACGCATTTCCCTTCAAAGACAAGCTTCCTTGTTGATCAAGCTGTGTATCTTCTTCGAGATCAACATTAAGAACCTTCCATGAATCGGATCTGAAATTATAGATTTCGTAACCACCACCAACAGACTTGTTTCTCAAGATTTTGTGGTTACGGTTTTTGCTGCTATCATCATATCCAAAAGCATACACACCTGATTTATCGAATCTCTCGAGCAAGCGACGGGGTTTGATAAACCTCGTTTGTCCCAAGTACATGTTACACACCATGAGCCTCTTGCTGAAGACGCATAGCAATAAGCCGTCGCAGTGAAAGATTTGAGATATCGACAATTCATCAAGATCAAATGCACTTACTTGATTCACTGATGTGTCAACAAAGTCATCACCGTCTTTGGTGATTCCATGTAGATCGAGTTTCATCGAACAGATCTTGTCATCAACTAGGATAAACCCTAGTAACTGCTTCCTTGCGGTTGCGTCTGCTGCTTTACCACCTAAAAGATGGGTTTTCGATAAAGCCTCCCATTTTTTACAGCTTGATCTGAATGGTTTAAGAGATGTAATGGGAACCCTAGAAATAATCTCTTCTACCAAATCCTCTGGAAGATTTGACATCGGCGTCGTCATTTCTCTAAACTTCAGAAAAACCAAGGCTGCAATTTTTTTTGGTATAATGTGAATATAGGTAGACAAAGGTGATAGTTTACGATTTAAGGGTATTCCTCAAAGAAATCTTTTCAAATTTGGCAATAAATGTTTTTATACAGAAGGAAATGATTGATTATTTTTGGTGGTCAATTTCGAATTTTCGATCTTTGTATCCCTAATTTACAAAGGTGAGCGGTTAAAAATGACCAAAACTGGCTTAGATATTTTGATATAATTAAATGGCCGAGTAAAATCCGTGTTCTTCACAACCGTTTTTATAGTAGGATTTTGAAAACAAATTGAGTAAAACAAGCCCTTGTGAATTATGGAGATTTTATCCAAGTAGAGAAATTGCATTAATGCATTTTTTCCAGATGGTAAAAAATCTGGTCTAGTCTGTCTACAGAGTATAGAGCATGACCATGAAAATACTATCCATGTAGCTCTGCCTTACCAAATCATTAAAAAGAAATAAACACATGATAGACCATTCTAGTTTTCCAAGGGTTCTATACTTCTATGGAGTTTTATAGTCTGAAACTGACGGAAAATGTAATGTTGTTAAGAGTGTTAAAAACTGTAGTATTCTTTTGTATATGTTACATTGACATTGACAAATTCATGGGTACCGTATTTACCAACGCATCAAGGGAAATGTAGACTATTATAAACTATATCATCATATCATGAAAGCTTCTATTATTAACAAAGAAGCCAAATGATTCTCTCAACTCATCTTTCAACTTCCACATGAAATCCTACATTAGTCACATCTAACAACTGACATGAACAAAACAACTGAAAGAGGTTAAGACATGCAAAAGCCGACTTATTTTTATAAGATGATAAATCGCAAAAGCATAATTGACTATCAGTAATCTTGTTTAAAAAGACATTAAACGAAACAAAAGGAGATGATGCAAGAAGAAACAAATAAATCATTGTTAATGGAACTGATTAATAATCTCTTTCTTTCCTTTTGCCCAGATGATTGATTCGTCGTACTTGCACTAAACTTGGAACATAAGAAGAGAACACAAGTGGATCACAATAATCTCCAAAATTTTCAGGTTTCGAGATATGACCTGTTCCGATTTTCACAGATTTGAAGTATCCTCCATCTTGTCCAATGATGTTAACTGTTTCGTATCCACAGGTTTCGTTCTGTCTATATTTACGAGATTTGGAAACCAAAATTTTCTTCTCCTCGTCAATAAAGAAGCTCCCATCATGAAAGTTACTCGAAAAATCAGAGAGCGGTGTCCATGCCATTTTGAAGAACTTGATCCACGATACTACATTGGGCTCAATCTTAGTCGTTATCCAAATCTCTATGACCAAACATGTCTCGTAGTGTTCGTATAACACAGCGAGCTGCTCTTCTCTGACACAAGATAGAGTCACAGTATTTTCATAGTAAGAGTGAAACGGTAGAGGAAGACGCGGTCCAAACCTCTCTGCTATAAAATCAAAACAGAGTAAAAAATCAATACTATTTGAAACTGGATCTCCAACCTCTATTATTTGTCGAGCATAAGAATAAGTATTCCCCTTCAAAGACACGCCGCTTCCTAAATCACAGTGAGGATTGACATCAAGAACTCTCCATGAATCAGAGTTAAAATTATACATCTCGAACTTGAAAGGAATATTTCTTTGACTGCTTTCGTTGTAGTCATCATCATCCAAAAACTTCCTCAAGATTTTGTGGTTACGGTTCTTGTTGTTGTCGTAACCGAAAGCATACATGTCTAATCTGTGGAATTTTTGGTATTTGCTTCTTGGTTCGATCCACCTGAATTGCCCTAAATACGGGTTCCACACCATGAGCTTCCTTCTCCTTCCGTCTATGACGACACATAACAATAAGCCGTCGCAGTGAAAGATATTAGATATCCCATGTTGATGAAGTATATTTATTTCCTTTATAGATGGATCAACGAAATCGTCGTTGTGGATTCCTTGGAGATCAAGTCTCAGGGAACAAACCTTATAATCCACTATTACGAAGCCTAGAAACTGCTTACTTGCTGCTGCTTTTCCAAAAATATGATTGTCCGATAAAACGTTCCAGGATAAAGCGTTCCATGTTTTACAAGTATATCGCACTGCGCTCAGAGATATCAATGGAACCCTAGAGAATATCTCACCCACCAAATCTACTGAAAGATCGGACAGAGTCGTCATTCTTCCAAGTTTCAAAAAAGGTTTCTACGATTGTCCTGTTGTCCACTCTTATTTTCTCTCTATATATACATACACTTAAAACTCTTTCCTATTCCTACCTAAACTCATTCATTAATTGATAAAGATTATAAATTCGAGTTAAAAATTGTAGGAATATCTTGACCCAAAAAAAAATATACTGTAGGAATATTAAAAAAAAAGGAAAATTATTGATATGGGGAAGAAATTCTAATTATCTACAGGTTCTTTTTTTTGGATTTATCAAAATAGTAAAAAAAAAAAAAAAAAAGAAGATCTATCGGCGATTCTGGCCACACTAAAAAATATCAGAAAACCCTTTTGACAAAAAAGATATAAGATATAAGATATAGAAAGTTTTAATAGGCGCTAACATATACAAGAATCGACACACTTTTATCTCTTGTTACATAATCCTTACATCAGCTTCGATCTCTATTAGTCTTCTCGTTGAAACTTTTAAACTTTAAAGTTAGAATCTGTCTTCAGTCTACATTTGCTACGGAGTGAATGGATCATCAACTTTCAACAATTTGTCTATATCATTCTTATAGCTCACGTAACAGTGAGAGAAACAGAATCAGTGTAACATCTATGATTTGATCCTATGTATCTGCCTTTTTCTCTAACAAAAGCTCCAAGAATTTCGTCTACTGAAATGGTGAAGTGAGAGACACTTGTATATTCTTTACTTAGAACTGTCCTGTGTGATCAAGGAACAACTTAACCAGTGACAGATACTTATGTTCTGTTATTGAACAACATTAAGAACCAATTACAACTTAATGAAGAACAGAACTTTGCTGGTCTTTGTTTTAGTCTGACTGTAGACCATAAGTATCAAGTTTAACTCATTCATTGATCTGTAAATAATTCACAGAACTAACTCTTTATAAAGCAACAAACAACGACCAATCCAAAAACTTGAACCTTTTCCTCCTTTATACATATCTTCAGAATTAGCTACAAACAGAATTTAAAACTTCAGACAAATAAAACAGTAGAAATGGCTTTGGTGAGAACTTAGAAGTCTATTGAGTGCGAAAAAGATATTTGGCCACACTTAGCAGTTAGCAGCAGCAGCAGAACCTTTAACGAGCAAAAGGCCAGCCTCAAAAAGATTTCTTGTGGTGTACGCTAAAGGGAGCCAGAAGAAGAGTTATTAGG